GTCCTTTGTTGGAGTGTGTCTTGCTCTTGGTTGGGCGGCTTCTCCACTATTCTCCGCTAAGAATGGTCAACCCCAAAGAATGGTCAACCCCAAAAGGGTTCCATTCTTTACCAGGGTCAGTGAGCAACTGGGAAACGGTCAATGCGTGTGATCATGTGCAGTGCAAACAAGATGTTAAAACCAGGAGACCCGGAAACTAGGTGGTTTCTTCATGGCTTGCATTTAAAACTGCCTACCGTTGGGTTGAGGCCCCCGTCCTCACACAGAAAGGCACATCCATATCCAGCACCCTCAAGACCAAACCCAAACTGGGTTCCGCCCCGGACCCAAACAAAAGGCACGTTCATATCCACGAGGCCGTCCTATCTCAAGCCTTTCTTTTCGGGAGAGCGCGCCGCCGCTGCTCTCGCCATGGGTCTGGTACTCACCAAGATCTGGGCGCGGCTCGCCGGCAAACAGGACGGACCGAACTGAGGGCTTGCTTAGTTGTCTCAAAAACCGACCTTTCCACCTTTTTGGGTTTTCCTTTTTTTGGTTTGTTAGTACGGGCCCCTTCTGAGTTTAACCTTTTTCTAGGTCCATTGGTCTGCTTGGCTTTGACTTTCTGGTTGGTCATAGCGGTGAATTTGTGCTATCATCTGTAGTAAAGATGATGACATGGGTCACACTCACCAAATTACAGGGGGGGAAACCAAATTCCCAGGTCGGCAGGTGAGTTGGGACACAATGAATATTGACTGTGCCTCATAAGAGGTTCGGTCAAATGCAGTCTGTGGTTCAATTGGGAGTCACTATACTGGCACACACAAAATCTCCAATGTCCGTTGGCAGGAATAAGTAATTTTGATGGCTTGCGTCATATGAGTGTGCGCTTGTGCCTTTTTTGAGGTGGGAAATCAATCAGATGGCCACCATGCCATTTTGTTCGGGGGGTTCTCCTTTTTGACACACCCTCACTTGTCTTTCAATTTTGACGGGAAACCCTTCGGAAATGGTTGGTGGGTAGAAATCCACAAGTAAATCATGTCCACCAAAGGGTCTTAAATTAGCATACTCATATGCACGATATATCTTGGGTATCAATCAATGAACACTTATGGCTTGTATCGGATTCTTGTAAGATTGTCGGGTGTTCATCTCAGTTTGGGATTCCGCCCATTTCTGAGAGGTGACACAATAAACACGCAGTCCCACCTAAACTGAACTTTTTTGGGCTTCGAGACGAGCCCCTCAAGTTTGGCCATGTCATGAAACATTCGATGTTGCCGAACTTTTGCTGCTCGCAACGATACCAAACAAATAATCATGTTATACACATATACGTATATATACATATATGTACATATATATATATATATTGATACGGTCACAACTATGATCCCAGCACGATCATTATTGGAGAGGAGCGGAAGATTGTTATGATCGGCCTGGACGCTGCCGGCAAGACCACCGTGCTCTACCGGCTGAAGCTCAATGAGGCGAGCTTTCGGAGCCGTGGGCCGAGGGTTGTTCCGCCGAAGGGTTGGGGAAGACGGGGGTTGACTCCGATGCGAATTAACATGGGGCCCAAACACACACTTGACATGGGACCTTAATAAACACCCATAGAGGAATCTCCTCTTGGGGCACCCGTTTTGGGGTTCCAGGTGAGTACGCTCTCTCTCTCTCTCTCTCTCTCTCTCTCTTTCTCTCGGCCATCAGACCAGTGCATCCAAGCCGAGCAAGCAGCAGAAAGAGAGAAAAAGCGCTGCATGTACACTGACACAATTGAAGGTGAAGTGGAGCTGGCCCTTGGTATCGCAAGGGGATCACCTGGCACAACCACCAGATGTCTTTAGACAATTTAGGAGCCCCCCTAAAGGTTGGAAAAACAGGAGTTCAAACATGTCCAAATACGGGTCGAATGTTGGATTCCTGGGCCCAAGACGTGTCAATGCCCATGCACACCACTGGCAATGCTTGCTGACTTACATGTTCAACGCTGTGTGACGGCAATCGGATGCATCAAGCTGAAAGGCTGTTTGGCCCTTCCCAGGGGGCAGATTGAAGTGTCAAGCCTTGACCTGGAACACTGGAACATTGACTTGGGAGCCTCCTATCCACGTTGGCTCTCTCTGAAAGTTCCCTTTTCGGTGTATCAACCCCGAATTATACACCCCTCAATGCTGGGAGGTAGCACACGATAGGTGCTCATGACCATCCCTACCATCGGTGCGGAAGCCCAGGGGCCGCGGCGGGGTGCGTCTCGCAATGGGCTCACCCTGTTGGTTTCCCCAGCCAACCTCACGGGGTGTGTCCGGGATTTGAATTTTCATGGCTTCCCTTTCAGCATCCCTTTGAACCATCATGGTATTCTCCAATAATGATACAGCCATGTGCAATCAGTTTGGTCGGGTTCAACAATATTAGTTGGCAAACGTCGCCAGCTATTTGACCTGCAGGGGAGTGTGCCTTACCAAAAGCAGAGTTATCCCATTAGTCCTTTGCCTCTGAGTACTGCTGCCCCCGACCTTTTGGTGGTGCTTCACGAGGGCACGGCGCATTGAACGGGGCAACTGCACACCTTGCACTCTTCTGTGTTGGTTTCATGTTTGACATGCATTCATTGGTTGCGCTTGCTTGTGTCAAGTTGCGTTCATTAGTTGCGCTTGCTTGTGTCAAGTGAGAGTCATCCAAAACATGCGTGTTTCTTTTGTTTTGCGTGCAGCGTTTAAGCTTCAGTTTTGCTGCGCATGCCCGCACATTTACAGAAGCATGGGCAATGCGGAGTCCTTTCTTGGGGCAACGATTGGCAGCATCTTGGGCGGCATCGGTGGGTTGGTGACCGGTGGCCTTGCCTGGGGAGCCAGCGCGCTCACGGCATTGGCGAGTGGCTATGGCGGGCTGGCGGGCGGCGGATTCGGAGCTGTGGTTGGGGATCAGATCGCCCGAGCAGCAGAACAAGACCACCGTAGCCCGCAGGTCAGCAGTCCGGGCAAGTGCTGGGGACCATGTCAGACCATCTACTCAAGTGCCAGGGGTGACAGGATTTACTCCCATGTCCTCTCCATTGACTTTGCAGAAGTGCGTCCAGTGCAGCTTCAAGTCTTGCTGACCTTTGCTGTCAACACACAGGCAGCAAAGCCACTGGTACACTTTGGCCTGGTGTTCAAAGGAGACAATATGGGAATTAAACCGTCTTGGTCTTCTTCAAGGTGGCACTCAGTCCTAATCCACCGCGTTCTGAGCGGAGCGGCCCTGGATGTTGCGGACGTAACCTCTAATCTGGAAATTGAGTTGAGGCAACCAGTCAGTGGAGACAAGTCGGCAACCATGAATGTGGGAACAGTGCAGCCCTATCAACTGAGAGCGGCTGCGGACTGCATTACCGCAGATTTGCAAAGGAATTTTGTTATACAAGGCTTTGCACAGAACCCGTCCAAAAATACAAACTGTTCAGCCTTTGTGTGCCGTTTGCTCAAAGCGATGAGCATTACAGTGACGGCGAATGATATTGTGCCAACGATTACCGGCATGGGACTCAGCCATGAAAAGGCAGAATTTGCCGCGCTCGCATGGACAGATTACTGGTCCAAGGTGTAGAGACAATTTGCACAGAGAGTAGGTTCGACATGGACCGGATCTATGTCGGTGGCCAAGCAGACCATGACTGCTGTTTGCCTTGACACGATGGTGAACAGCCATGCGTTTGCTTGTCACTAGCCTTACAGCGGAGATTTGCACCGGACCACTTTGCGACAGGTCAGTTTTGGGTGTCGATTCGGAATGGATCGAACACAGGGCGGGCCCTTAACCTTATTGACCTCTCTGCCAAGTTAGGGATAGTTCGGGTTCACTTCTGCTGATTATCGAAAAGCCGCGGGCTTGACCCTCATCTTGTCGCTGCGCTGCTGAGTCAGCAGCCAACAGCAAACAGAAGGCCGAGCTGAAAAGATGCTTTTGTCCGGAAGACCTTGCAAAGGGCTATTGAAAAGACGTGCCTCAACAAAGTGATTGCTTTCAGCCAAAGGAAGCCAAGCTTGAATCCCAAACTTGTCTATTGTCCCTTGAGTTTCGCTTAAAACCCGCACCAAATCGGTACCTTCCAAAGCAGACAAACCCAACAATTACGATCCCGCCCAGAGTTCTTCTCGTATGGTGCGTGCGCTGTGCCATGTGAAGCTCTTTTTTCAGGGAGTGGGGAATCCTTCTTTTGTGAATTTGCACCAGCGACCCGTGATTCCCAAGAAAAAACATCTCGATCCCGGTTTTGATTTTGAAATCACGCCAGGGGGTCCCGGTGTTTTGTTTATTGAAATCACGCCTGGGTGACCAGGTGTTGTTTTTTTGAAATCACGCCTGGGGGGTCCCGGTGTTTTGTTTATTGACATCACGCCTGGGGGCGCCTGGGTGACCATTTTTTGTTTTTTACACGCCTGGAG